GTGGCACTGTGGCTCAAGTAGAACACTAGCCTTGAGCTGAAGAGCTCAGGCACAGTGCGCAGGCCCAAAGTTCAAGCCCCATGACTGACCAAAAAAAAAAAAAAAAAGTATATGGTAGAGTGCTTACCTAGCATATATGAAACCCTGGTTTTGATTCTTCAGTACCACATAAACAGAAAAAGCCAGAAGTGGTGCTGTGGCTCAAGTGATAGAACACTAGCCTTGAGCAAAAGATGTTCAGGGACAGTGCAGTGCCCACGCCCTGAGTTCAAGCCCTAGGACTGACCAAAAAAAAAAAAAAAAAAAGAATATGGGCATACAAAGTTGTGGTTTTACAGAAGTAATTTTATTTATGTGCTCAACGTTAGCTAATATTTGATAAATTCATTTTTACAATCTTTTCAAATAGAACTTTGGTATTAAACATTATACTGACACAAAACTAGAATTTGTCGTTTTCTATGCTAAAATGACAATATTTTTCTTGGAATATGAAAGAGTTAAGGTTCTTGTCAATCATTCTGCCTCTTAGGTTTATTTTAAAATTTAAAATTGTGGGCTGGGAAGGTGGCTCAGTGGTAGAGCGCTTGCCTTGCATGCCTGAGGCCCTGGGTTCGATTCCTCAGCACCACATAAGCAGAAAAGGCCAGAAGTGGTGCTGTGGCTCAACTGGTAGAGCGCTAGCCTTTAGCTAAAGGGCTGAGGGATAGTGCCCAGGCCCAGAGTTCAGGCCCCATGACCGGACCAAAAAATAATAATAAAATAATAAAATAAAATTTAAAATTGTTTTCAGTCAGGAATGGTGGTTCACACCTATAATTCCAATTACAGGCTGACGCAGGAGGATCTCGAGTTCAAGACCAACTTCAATTAATAGCAAGACCCTGTCTCAAAAAACAAAAGTAGAAAAAAATTTGAATGTTGGGATATTGCTCAGTTGAGTGCTTGCCTAGTATGCAAGAAATCCTGAACTCAATCCTCAGAACCACAAAATGAAATCATTTATTGTCTCCTTAGTTAAATAGGATAGCTAAATATTGCTTTGCAGGGACTCATGATTCCACTTTTTACTTTGTCACTGTGTGTGTGTGTGTGTGTGTGTGTGTCCTGAGGCTTGAAATCAGGGCTTGAGCTCTGTCCCTAAGCTTTTTTTTTGCTGAAGGTTGGCACTCTACCACTTGAGTCACAGCTCCACTTCTGGCTTTTTGATGGTTAATTGGAAGTAAATCAGTCTCACCATCTTTTCTGCCTAGGCTGGCTTTGTACCACATATGATCCTCACATCTCGGCTTCCTGAGCAGAACTCAGCTTCCTCACAGCTTTTAATATTTTACCTTCCCTAAATCAAGTCCTACATGGATCTTTCATGCCTATACCAGAGCCTTCCCATAGAAAGGAAAAGCACTTAGAACTTGTCCAAAATTTCAGCTTATAGGAGAAGTAGGAGATGAAGGTGTGGTGCATCAGAAGAGATTTTTTTTGTATGTGTGTGGTATGGGTATTTAACTCGGGACCTCTTAAGTGATAGCAAGTGCTACTTGAGCCACACACTCTCTCGGTCCTTTGCTTTTAGTTGGTTTTTACAGCTAGTGTCTCGGTCTTATCAGTCTCAAGCCACTATCCTGCTCAACCTCTTGAGCAGGTTGGATTGCAGACCTGCATCCAGAAGTGACAGTTTTATTTGATCCAAGTGTTACTGAGAAACTTTTCTGAAACTGTGTGCTCTAAGGGAATCTCTGGCAAAGTACCCTGGCAGCCTATATTACTCTCGCTAGCAGAGATATGGTGCTGCTTTGCCTAATAATGAAGTGGCATAGTAGGTTTAATTTATCAGGATTTAGAATGTTAACTTTGCAATTGTACCCCCCCCCCCCCTCTGGGTGGTGCTACAGATTGACTCCAGGCCCTTGTACATGCTAGGCAACCACTCTGCTTTTTTTGGGGGGGGGTGGGGTGGGGAATGGTGCACAGGTTTGAGATAGGTCTCTCTATGTAGCCCAGCCCATGCTGGCCTAGAAGTGGCAATGTAAACCAGGCAGGTCTCAAACTTAAAATCCCTCGCTTCAGCCTCCTGGATTATAGACATGGACCATCAGTTACAGCATTAGCACCACCCTCTTAAAATGTTCTATTTTGAGCCGGGTGCTGGTGGCTCACGCCTGTAATCCTAGCTACTCAGGAAGCTGAGATCTAGGGATCCCAGTTCAAAGCCAGTTCAGGCAGGAAAGTCCATGAGGCTCTTATTTCCAATAAAACACTCAGAAAACAGGAAGTGGCACTGTGGCTCAAGTGGTAGAGTGCTAGCCTTGAAGTGAAGAGCTGAGGGACAGCACCCAGGCCCACAGTTCAAGCCCCAAGCCAAAAAAAAAAAAAAAAAAAAAAAGACACAATAGCAAATGCTGGGTAGTCTGCAGAGAAAATAGATGTCTCCTACAATTGCTCATAAGAATGTAAAATGGTAGAGCTATTCTGGAAAAGTTGGAATTCCTTAAAAAACTAAAAACTTATCAAAGAACCCAATAATCAATCACATTCTGGGCATTCATCCCCAAGCGGGGGTAGGAGGGAACCCCTAAGATTAACACAAATACATTTCACTCACTGCAGGTGGAAACCATCAAGGTGTTCCTTAACAGGTGGTGAGTACAAGAAGTGTGGTATAGGGCTGGGAAGTTGGCTCAGTGGTAGAGCACTTGCCTTGCATGCCTGAGGCCCTGGGTTCGATTCCTCAGCACCACATAAGCAAAAAAGAAAAAAGCCGGAAGTGGCGCTGTGGCTCAAGTGGTAGAGTGCTAGCCTTGAGCTGAAGAGCTGAGGGACAGCGCCCAGGCCCAGAGTTCAGGCCCCACGACCGGACCCCCCCCCCCCCACACACAAAAAAAAAAAGAAGTGTGGTATATCCATACCGTGAATACTACTCAGTAATAAAAGGAACCCAGACTTGCATGGACTCAGCAAGGAATATACTGAGTGAGCAAAAGATAATCTCAAAAGAATACATATCATAGGATTTTATTTATATATTTCTAGAGATGTAGAAGCCATGAGTGGTTGCTAACAGTGACAAACGAGGGATTGCGTTGGGGGTAACAAAAAGCAGTACAAGGAAGATCCCTAGGCCGATGGATCTGTTGTGTTTTGATTGTGGTTGCAGAGATGCAGTGACAGAACTGCATACACATTACACCAACAGCAGTTTCTTTTGTTGTTGTTGTTAGAATTGGGACTTGAACTCAGGATCTTACAAGCTGAGTGATCTACTGCAAAGCCATGCCTTCAGCCCTTTTTTGCATGGGACTTTATTCTATAGCTACTATCACTGGATGAGGTAAGACAGGACTAGGACCAGCCCTTAAGTGGGCCTAGGCCAATCAAGTTTCTTGTGCTCAGAAGTTGAATTGAGAAAGACCCAGCATCGCAGATTCTGCATTGAGAATCCTCTAACAGGATTAAAACTGTCCCTACCCAGTCTGTCAGTGAAAGCCACAGGAAAGCAGCAAACACTGAACTCATGTCTTACAAGGCAGCCTAATTGGGAGACTATTCCTATTTACAGCTGTCTTCACAGTGAATGGGCTTCTGCTTATCAGTCTGCACTAAATGTATGCTTAATACATTCATCCAAGATTACAAACCAAGAGACAGTAATGCCACCAGCACAACCATGTTTCTGCAGCAGTATTCACCATAGCTAAGGTATGGAATCAGCCCGGATGCCACTCAATAAAGGAATGAATCAAGAAAATGTGGTATGCATACACTTATCCATTACAAAGAATGATATTCTATCATGTGTAAAGAAATGAGGAAGACTTAGGAGTTGCTATTTATCAAATGAATCTTGATCAATTTCTCTCGCTCTCTATACAGTTGAAAAAGCTGCTGTGGACCCATCCCTGTGTTCTTGCAGTGTGAGACTGCTGTCTTTTAAACCTAATGCTCTCTTTACTTGTTTGACTAAGTCAGTGAGACTAGAAGGCTGAAGAGGGAAGGAATGCACTGGGGATCTCCTGAGGATGGCTGTTACATGCATAGGTGTGCTGAATGTTCCAACCAGTCTCACAACTACGGCTCCACCAGACTTGCCCACGTCAAGTACCAACTAGGGATCTAAGGTCCTCTTGGATTCAAGTTCACAGGTAAGCTGAAGGTTGGAATTCAGTAAATATGTTGGGTGGTATGCAGTATTTACAAATGTATTAACTGAAATATGGTAGGTTCAAGGGATAACTCTTGAATCTACCACATCCTTCTCTAAGTTTTTATTGAGTTATTCTATTTGGAAGCAGGTATAGAATATGCAAAGGGCTGGGCACAGCTCACCTCTGTAATCCTAATCAGGAGGCTGAGATCTGAGGATCATGGTTCAGAGCCAGCCTGGGCAGGGAAGTCCTTGAGACTCTTATCTCCAAGAAACCACCAGAAAGCCGGAGCCTTAAGTGGTTCTGTGGCTTAAGTGGTACAATGCTCACCTCAAGCTGAAGAGCTGAGGACAATGTCCAGGCCCAGAGTTCAAGCCCCACAACTAACAACAAAAAGGGAACAGTACCCATCTCACAGAACCAGTTATTGCTGACAGGATCACTAGCATTGGTGTTTTTTGTCAGCCATGGGGCTTGAACTCAGGGCCTGGGTGCAGTCCCTGAACTCTTTTGCTCCAAGTTAGTGCTCTATTACTTTAAGCCACAGCACCACTTCCAGTTTTCTGGTGGCTAATTGGAGGTAAGAGTCTCAAACTTTCCTGCCCAGGCTGGCTTTGAACTGCAATCCACAGATGTCAGCTTCCCTAAGTAGTTAGGATTACAGGGGTAAATCACTGGTACCCAGCTGATCTTGGGTACAGCCTATAACCAAACTTCTGCCTCCTTAATAGCTGGAATTACAGGTGTGCATTGGCTCTAACATAACCACTATGGATTAGCTATGTTTTCTGTTCCCATCTCATTTCACTGGGTGGTTCCAAGAATAAGTATGTGAAGTCAAATGAAAACAAGCTAAAGCAATCCAAAGGTTGAATGTTTTTAATTGTTTTTGCTAAGTAGCAAAATTTTAACTGTTTTGCTAATGTAAGAATGGATCCAACAGAGTGGCTAAGCCCTATAACCCATATAGCCCAAGGTGGCTGTAGTGATGGGACTAAATGTGGACAAAAGGTCTTTGCCTCTCAGTGACATCAAGCCCACGGACATCATCTACAGGACACCAACATACATGTATCTGTTGTGCAAGAATTTAATGCCTTCTTGAGCCTTCAACACTGTCCAAGAGTATCATGTTCTGAGGTTATGGACTCTAGGTGTGCTAGGAGATAGGTAAAGGGCAAAACTTCCTTCCACATTGCACGAACTGTGGCTTGTAATGGGATCTAAGGAATGTAAGTCCAGACTCCCCTTCTTCTGCTGGCCAGTTCCTCAAAGGTGAAGGTCAGTATTCTCGCAGCTCCCCTGCCCCAGTTTTGGAGTTCTTCAATGTGTCAGCCGCATGGATGCGTTATTCATGGACGCATATGGCTTTTGCCACAAAAATAGTATTTTTTGCTTTTTCCTTGGTTCTCAACACCTGGGCTAGCATCCTCCAGGACCAGCTCACCCACCCCATTTTGTTTAGGCTGTTTGAAGGGTTGTTCAGGGCTATCTGCTAGTTCTAAATGATCTCTTCAAGCTTCACAGAGCCTCACAACCTTATTTCTCTCTGCTCTGCTCTTTTGATATGTTACAATTCTACTTATAAAACTTTCAAACCTCTGATCCCTGGATGCCTCTTTTCAGATTTTAAAATTTCTTACATTCACTAAATATTAGCCTTCTGAATTTCAGAATGCAGTTACCTACCAGTTAATACAAAATGCAGCCTCGTACTGTATTAATTACTGACAGCAGCGCCACAGGATGGAGGGAGGGAAGGCCTGGTACCTAGAGAACCCTCTCCACTGCTATACATACACCTCTGACCTGCTTGCTCTGACCCTGAACACCATGTGCTCCACCGCTCTAAACTGAGCACTTGGGTTACCTTATTCCTCACCTGACTAGAAATGTTCTAAGCACAGAAAGGAAAGCAGCCTGCTTATAGACACAGGTGCAAAGCCAAACTCAAAACTACTTTTGTACCTAAGTGTTCTGAAGGGTATGGAGGGGCCCAGTGGTCTGTCTTCAGTGTCTACTTCACCAGGGATCAGGACCTGCAAGGCTCAGGGTGTACAGCAGATTCACTGTCAACAATCTCTAGGCAGGAAGACAAAAAGGTATATAAAATAGAAACTCAAGTACAGGCTTTACCACCCAGAAGGATCAAAATTCCTGGGATAGTCAAAGACTCACTTTGGCTGGTTATACCCAGATGTACTGGATTCACGACAAGGCAAATTCCATGTTTCATTAACAGTTAATCTGCTAAGTCTTCAGGGGTCAGACTCAACCCCGAAACTAAACTAACTACACCACAACGTTCACTGTACATGTCAGCCACTTCCTTTCCTGCTCTACCCCTCATTTTCAGCCTTTCTGGACCTGTATGCTCTCAGGAAGCCAAAATAGCAAAAAGCATGGTAGAAAAAAAAAAAAGGAACCAGTTTTCATTTCTTGGCACCTATTGCTCTCTGCATCCTAGAGGCTAAATGGGCTAAAAAAATGATAGCCTAGTTGTCTCTGCCTTCCAGTGAACACTGGAAGTTCTCCCATTGGCAATTAAATGCAGTGAGCAGTTCCACAGTGACTTGGGATGAGTATCACCCAATGCAGGAGACAAGTGCCTCTGACCCACGTAGACCAGTTCTGTTGAGGAGGCTGACTCCGGCACCGGACGTGCAGGTCTGGGAGGAAAGTGCCTCGCCCTTGTTGGTACCAATGGCCTAATAGTTTCTCAAGGCTCAGAGGCTCAACCCTGGACAGTTGGTGAAGAGATAAATGTAACTGTCTTGCACAGGTCTTCAACACTGGAATAGTTCAGCAGGTCCACACAAGGTTCACCTTAAAGCAGCATCTTCAGGGTGCTGGAGGCAGGCGCTGTGACAGAAGACAGTGAGCAAGGGTCAAAGCTTTGTCTGGTAACCATCACAACCAGACCCAGCGACTAAATCAACTTATTCCTGAGGACACTCTCATCAGGGTAAAAAAGTGCATATACCAGAACATGTGCTTTGGCAGCCACATGGTTAACAGAATACTGACTCTAAAAAGAGGTTTAGCTGGCCACTCAGTGAATGGCTCTGGCTGGCAGGCTCTGTGAGTCTCCTTTCCCTTACCTCTAAGTCATCAATGACAGCACCTACTTCAGTAGGCCATTGTGAGGATAAGCAAGATAATCTGTATAAATCACCTAAGACATAATACGTGCTCAATCACATAGTTTGGCTCTTAGCATTTATCATACATGGGAACAGAAAGGGAATGCGGAGAGAAGGAACAGGTAAACCATTAGGGTATCAGAATTGAAGGGAAGACTTCTATGACTATTCTGACAATATTATTTTAGGTCTTAAGACATTTTGTACATGTGTGGAAGATACCACAGACAATTGAACTCTTGCAGCTTAGGAAAAAGGAAGCAAGGTAGACAGTTGGCATTGTTTACCAAGTCTATCATTATTCTCAATTTGACATTTGGGAAACTGAAAATTCAGTAAAGGAAAGAAGCTGAAGGACATAGGAAGGGAGGAAGATGAAGGGGTTAACAGTAAAAAAAAAATGCAAAAGCTCCCTGCACCCCAGCTTTCATAGCCCCAAGGCAGGGCAGAATGTAGGTGACCACTGTCCTGATTAGGAGCTCCTTCAACAATGAGCCTACTTGCTAGGGCTTGCTGCAAGGCTGCAATGAGGTTCACTGCTATGGACAGCGAGATTGGCCACTTTCCTGCCTGCCAAGTGTCCCACTGTAGTCAGGAGACAGAGAGGAGAGACAGCTTGTGATGATGAGCAAGGAGTCCATGCTTAGGACGCTACTGCAAGTCATAACTCGGTCCTCCCTTTCCCCTATGGTGTTTCAGCTGTCAGAAAGCACAATGGTTGTCCATGTCCATCAAGGACACAGGTAGTGAACACTAATTAGTGCACAATCTGCTTTCACAGACCTAACAGTAATTTCACTAGTATTTATAACCCTTAATTTTAAATTCATTCTACCCACAAATATTAAGTAACCTTAAAATACTTAAAAAGATTGTTTTTTAAAAAGCTAAGTATAAGCTGGGTACCAGTGGCTCACACCTATAATCCTAGCTACTCAAGAGGCTGAGATCTGAAGATCATGGTTGAAAGCCAGCCCTGACAGGAAAGTCCACAAGACTTTTTATTTCCAATGAATTACCAAAAGGATAAAAGTGATCTGTGGCTCAAGTGGTGCACTAGTCTGGAGCATTAAAGCTCAGGGACAGTGCCCAGGCCCTGAGTTCAAACCCCAGGACTGGCACACATGAACAAAGGGGTTCATGCATGTGTACACACACACACACACACCCCTACCTACCTCTAACACACACACACACACACACACACACACACACCCCTACCTACCTCTAACACACACACACACACACACACACACACACACACACACACACACACACACACACACAGACCCCCTACCTACCTCTATAACCCCAGTCCCCCAGGGACTGCAAGACTGTCTCAGGAGAGAAAAAAGTTAAACAATTCTTCAATTATCAACAACTACAGAGAAAGTGTTCACATTTTCCAATTTGCCTCATAAATGTTCCCAAAGCCTGAGTTTTTTTTTAGCTCTATTAATTCCATTACTGCAACCATCTGACCAAGTTTCTCACTAAACTAGATGAGAAAATGAAAGCCCACAGAGGTCAGATGATCTTCCCAGATCACAGAGCCTACTGAAAACAGATGGCCAGTGCTCTTTCCTCAGTGTCACACTCTCTGGCAATGTGAATATGAAAGTGATTATTGAATGCTTTGAATCTCCCTCAGAGATTCATCAATACCCATTATATACACATAAGAAATAATATAGCTTTAACACCATTAGGTAGAAGATCAGAATGTAGCTTTTGTCCTGTACTTCAATTTAGTATGGGAAATGAGGGACCTCAATGACCTCTACTCATTCCAAAGCTAACCAGCTCCCCCAGGTCACAGCCTGCTGAGTACCCTACAGAGGGAAGCAACATGTAGCAAGGATCTATATTCTAGTTATGTACAAAGATGGAATCAGTAAAGGTGAAGATGGTCTACGAACAGGCCCAAGTGATTTTGCAGGTCACTTTCTTAAAGCACTTAAGGAAGGGGCCATTTCTGTACTATTTAGTGTTTTTCTGTTTGTTTTTTATTGGTCATGGGGCTTGAACTCAATGCTTGGGCACTATCCCTGAGCTTTTTCACTCAAGGCTAGTGGTCTACCACATTGAGCCACAGCTCTAGTTCGTTTTCTAGTGATTAATTTGGAGATAAGAGTCTCATGGACTTTTCTGCCTGGGCTGACCGTGATCCTTAGATCTGTCTCCTGAGTATCTGTCTCCTGAGTAGCTAGAATTACAGGTGTGAGCCACTGGCACCCAGCTTTGCTTAAGTGTTTTAAGAGGCTGAAAAGAAACATTAAATACTTCCCCTATCATTCTACAAGGGCAGACTCACCTCTTTTAGACAAAGGATAGCACATACATACAAAAGTGGTAGGTGATAATAAGTAATAACAAGTCTAAATAATTATAAATTTCAGGTCAAAATCACTAATCACTCACTAATAGAAGCCAAAATTTCACATAGAATAAAATCCAACCAAAAGAATAGGAAAATGTTTTTCTTTCTAAATACATATGGCTTCTTCTTTTTTTATTTTTATTTTTTGTGTGTCTTCTTTTTTTTTTCCATTTTGTGATTTTTTTTTTTTTTTTTGGTCAGTCATGGGGCTTGAACTTGGGGCCTGGGTGTTGTCCCTGAGCTCTTTTGCTCCCAGCCTCCTAAGGAGCTAGTATTACAGGTGTGAGCCACCAGTGCCTGCCTTTTGTGTTGTTTTAGATAGTCTTATTTTTTCTGTAATGCACAATAAAATTAATGAGAGGATATACAAAAGGAAAAAAATAGAAAACAGTTCCATGAGGACACCTATAATTATAGCTCCAGTAGGCTAAAGCAGAAGGATCATGGTGAGAGGATAGCCTGGGTAAAGTTGGTAAGATCCTATCTCAGAAACAAAAACAAAACAGAAAAAAAGGTTGGGAATGTAGCCCAAGTGGTAGAACTCTTGCTTGGCAAGTGTGAGGCCCTGGGTTCAATCCCCAGAATCACAAAAACAAGACAAAACAACCCTCCCCCCAAGCCCAGCACCTTCCCCACCCCAATCTCCACAATTGACAAAGGTATAGGAAAACACATAATCTCATCAATGTGGCTACAACTGGAAATAAGCAAAACTTTTTTTTTTTTGGTCCTGGGCTTGAACTCAGGGTGGGCTTGGGTGCTGTCCATGAGCCTTTTCACTCAAGGCTAGCACTCTACCACTTTGAGCCACAGCACCACTTCCAGTTTTACAGTGGCTAATTGGAGATGAGTCTTTCCTGCCCCAGCTGGCTTTGAACCATATCCTCAGATCTCAGCCTCTCAAGAACTAGGATTATAGGTACGAGCCACTGGTGCTCAGCAAGCAAAACATTTTGAAGGGAATTAGTCAGCAGATGACTAGATATGAGATGTATCCTACATCTCTACTCACTGGTTTCCAGCTTTGAGAAATACTCCCAGAAGAACCATGAGCAAAGATATTTACAAATACAAAACAAAACAAGACATACTCCAACATTCTATGTAGCAGGAAGCAGTGAGATACATGTTTCACACACCCACACAGTTAAGTACCAGTCAACCTCTGGAATGATGTGCAAAAGTCTCTAAGCAACCAATAGGAACACATTACAAATGACCTATAAAACAAAGTCTATATACAAAATAATCCATACTCTATGATCCTCTTTTTGTTCAAAATAAATAAAATTATATAAGAAAAAGGCTGGCCAGGCACCGGTGAATCACGCCTGTAATCCTAGCTACTCAGGAGGCTGAGATCTGAGGATTGTGGTTCAAAGCTAGCCAGGGCAGGAAAGACCGTGAGACTCCTATCTCCAATAAACCACCAGAAAACCGGGAGTGGCGCTGTAGCTCAAATGGTAGAGCCCTAGCCTTGAGCTGAAATGCTGATGAACAGCGCCCAACCCAGAGTTCAAGCCCCACAACCAACCAAAAAAAAAAAAAGAAAGAAAGAAAGAAAGAAAAAGGCTGGAAGTCATATTAAGCAATTACAGTATGATAATTATAATCTGTAGGACAGCATTATGGTCACTTCCTAAATAATGCTATTTCTGTAGTGTCTGAATAGACACAACTTGGTGTGAAATTTAAAAAAAAGAAGTAAGATAAAGAAATAAAAGCACTTCTACATCTGTGCAAACAAAGGTACTATGATTCCAAGAATGTCAGGCACTGATCTCTCCTTAGACCCAGAAGGACTGGCAAAAAGGCTCAGGAGGGCTGGGAAGATGGCTCAGTGGTAGAGTGATTGCCTTGCTTGCATGAGGCCCTGGGTTGGATTCCTCAGCACCACATAAGCAGAAAAAGCTGGAAGTGGCGCTGTGGCTCAAGTGATAGAGCTCTAGCCTTGAGCTGAGGGAGAGTGCCCAGGTCAGAGTTCCAGCACCAGCACCAGCACCAGCACCAGCACCAGCACCACCACCAGCACCAGCACCAGCACCACCACCACCACCACCACCAAAGGCTCAGGAACTGGAGCCTGCTGCTACATGACCCGTGCATTGCACCTTGTCCACACACACAAAGGAAGACATGGCTTAACAGTGCATACTGGAGAAAAGCACATTGAGTACTGGACTAGAACCATTTTTGTGTTGTTGTTGTTTAAATTTAACCTCCAATCTTTGGGTTGCTCCTCAGACTACCATTTTAAGATCAGAAATATTTTACTTGAATAGGTCACAATGGTAATTAGATAGATTATCTAAGAACTGACTTCTTGAGTAAGAGCTATGAAAACCTAGCTGTGCACTAAAATGACAGCAATAAATGGTACATCTAGGAAGGTGTAGCATTGAAAAATGATTAGTGAAGCAGAATACTAGCCAAGTAGCTTACAACTTGTGAATGATTAAAAACAAGAAGTAAGAGAAAGAGAATAAGAGTGAAAGTACACAGAAACATTACATATTAGCCACAGCTACTCTAAAGTATTTACTTCTAATCCTCACAACAGTCAGGGAATGTCACAAAAAAAGGAGACTCAAAGAGGTCCATAACTTGCTCAAAGTGACAAAGTGATAAATCCAAAAGTCTGGGTTTGAATATGGCCTAGTGCAATGGTACCTATTCTGGTCAACTGGTTGGCCAGCTCCAACTTTCCCAGTATTGGAGCCCATGCTGTGTTTCTCCAAACAGACTCACCTGTGAGCTAGAGGGTAACACCTGGGAGGTGGGCTCCTCAGACAGGGCTGCTCCTGAGGCCATGGGGCTCAGCGTTGTGATTCTGCTTGGCTGGCCACGGAGGGTCAGAGTAATGGTGGTGGGGACCTTCAAGCCTGAGAGAGAAAGAGGGGGGGGGGGGGGTAGAGGTGGGAGAGCGGGGGTTCTTGGTCATAGCCTTCAGCTTCTGCTAAGGCTTTCCTTTCCTGAATTTGTTTTTGTGTTTTTGAAAGGCAACAGGAAACAGTTTGTGGTCTTTTGACCTTTCTGGACAATGATGACCCTGTGGGCTGGGTTCAGACCTTGACTTCATGATACTGGAAGGTACTAGGGAAGACCCAATCTTGGAATCCCCACAATTCTCATGAGACTCACCTGATGCCTGGTTAGAGATTTGAGCCAGGCCAGGGAGGCTGCTTGCCAACTTAGCAAGGCCCCCATTGGTCAGCAACTGGTGGATGGCTGTAGGCTTCCCACCAGGAGCGGCACCCAACGAGGAGAGAGTGGTGGCCACAGGAATGGTACGAACAATGGTATTGGTGCCCGTGGTGATGGCACTCAAGCTCTGCATCGGGGTGGGCAACTTCACACTGGTGGCCTGTTGGACACACAAGCCCAGGTGATCAGAAGCTAGCACCCAACAGCAGAATTCAAGCCTGGAGAGCCCACAGCATATTATTAAAGGCTAACACATACTAAGTGTCTATTACATGCAAGGTAACCCTTCCAGGCATTTTGCAAACATTTTCTTTAACTCTCATTTCACAGACAAGGCAACAAGACAGAAAGGTCAAGAAGCTTGCCTAATGCCACGCAGTAAGTGATGGGCCATAACTATTGTTAGCTCATCAGCTAGGGAGCTGGAAAGGCTGTTTGTCCTTGACCCACTAACTCTTGATCCAGTCTCCCTGCCAAAAGCAATTAGGCTGAGGAGACCTATTCCCTGTACCTGCCTGCCCAGTGAAAGGGAGATGTGTACCTGTGGGGCTGGCCCCGGGGAGGGATTTGCTGGGAGGCCAGAGGTCTTGCTGCTAATATCCTGCAAGCTGAAGCTGAGGCCCTGGAGGAGGCTACTGGCTGATGTGGCCCCTAAGACAGAACATAGCAGTTATCAGCACTAGTTAATCATTTGCAAATACTCATAAGCATCCACACTGCCCACCATCACCAATACTGAACTCAATCCAAGGTCCTCACCTTCTCTACCTTCAAAAAGACACCAAGAGTGTCTCCCCCAGCATGCACAGTAGTGCCAGATTCTGCCTTGGATTTTCCCTGTATACCCAACCTGTTGCAAACTACCAGACCTGCATTTTGGACAATATCAGAAAAAAACCAACAGCTCACTTTTTAGAAACTTAAAATTTCCCCATAGTCCTTTAATTCCAGGGAAAAGGAGGAACTGTTTAAGACAAATGGATTTCCTCACACACAGCACCATATCCTCAAGGCAAAGAGAAAGGAGAGGGGCAGCTGCTACATTCCAGCCCACTGGGCTCAGGCAATTAGCTTTTCTGTGCAGAGTGGGGTTAGAGAAGGTAAGGGACAAGAATAGTTAGAAAAACATCTTGGTGTGCTAATTAGCCCTGCTTTCAATTTTATTCAATCAGACATGCTTAAAACATCAAAATAATCCAAGAACCAGTGGCTCACACCTGTAATCCTAGCTACTCAGGATGCTGAACTCTGAGGATAGCGGTTCAAAGCTAGCCAGGGTAGGAATGGACATGAGACTCTTATCTCCAATTAACCAAAAGTAAAAAGCCAGAAGTGAAGAGATGGCTCAAGTGATAGAGTACCAACCTTGAAGAAAAAAAACTAAGGGATAGCACACTGGCCCTGAGTTCAAGCCCCAATACTGGCAACAAAAAGATAAAAACATCAAAATGAAACATAGAATAACATTGTCCAAAAAGGAATGTACTCATTACCTGCAGTATGAACTGTAACCCCTTTGTATATCACTTTTTTTTTTTTTTTTTGGTCAGTCACGGGGCTTGAACTCTGGGCCTGGGCCCTGTTCCCTGAGCTCTTCAGCTCAAGGCGAGTGCTCTACTGCTTGAGCCACAGCACCACTTCTGGTTTTCTAGTGGTTTATTGGGATAAGAGTCTCATGGATATTTCTGCCCGGGCTGGCTTTGAACCGCGATCCTCAGATCTCAGCCTACTGAGTAGCTAGGATTACAGGTGTGAGCCACCAGCGCCTGGCTTAACACCTTTATAATAACAATGTAAACACCTTTTGAAAAGGAAATAAAGAAACATGTACTTTACTCGTTAGTATTTCCCACTTTTACAGCAGAGTATACAGCTCTTGCACATTTGGACATTTATATATTACGGATGTTAAGTCTATGGAATTCCCCTCACTCAAGCGAATTCCAGCTTTCTGGCATCCTCTAGGACCACAGTGAGGCCCAGAGGCACAACCTCCAAGAATGCTCATCAAAGACCACTCTCTGGCAGCAGACCAAAAAGAGTTTGCCAGTAGGGGGAACAATAGACTCTAAGATACCTGGGAGGTTGCTGCCAGGAGATGTGGCCACCAAGCGGCTTTGGAGAGTATGCAGGGCACTGGGTGTGGTGCTGCTGGAGGCCACTGAGGGGGCTGGGCTGGCTGAAACTCCACCTTCAGAAGTTGACCTGGAAACAAAGGAACTCTGTTATCCCAAGGTCAGAAGGCAGCAGACCCCAGTAACACAGGGAATGGCCAGAGTAGGGACAGCAAGGCTGGACACACACTAGAACCTGAAATTTCTTAAGTTCGCTTTTCTGAACTCTACTTCTGTTCTCCTAAAAGGACTTACAGCAATGTCAGGGATGTTCTGTAATGACCTCTGAACTAACCCAAATAATGGACAAAGATCCCAGTCAGAAAGAAGTCATACCCCATAATTGATAAGATTCCAGACTCTACTGTCTTCCTGAAGCACTAAATGAAAAGGGATAAAGGAAAGAAGGAACTAGAGACAGACAAGGGAGCACTTACTTGGCAGTGGTGAGAAGCCCAGTGAGCTCCTTAGCCCCTGCTGAGGCTTGCCCCAGTGTCATGGTGATGGGCTTTCCTCCTGTAGCTGCAAAAGAGAAAATCCCAAGGCCACTGTTCAGTCCTACTTGGCCCATACCATTCTGAGTTCCACAACTCAAGCTAAATATAAGATATTATAGGCAAAGGGGCTGGGAAGGTGGCTCAGTGGTAGAGCGCTTGCCTTGCATGCCTGAGGCCCTGGGTTCGATTCCTCAGCACCACATAAGCAAAAAGAAAAAAGCCGGAAGTGGTGCTGTGACTCAAGTGGTAGAGCGCTCGTCTTGAGCTGAAGAGCTGAGGGACAGCGCCCAGGCCCAGAGTGAAGGCCCCATGAGCGGACCCCCCCCCAAAAAAAAAGATGTTATAGGCAAAGATTGGACAATGAAAAAAGGAAGCTTTGTTAGAAAAGGGAAAGTGTTGGATCATTTTTTCTTTCATTTTCTAAGTTTTCAAGATTATCTTTCATAAAATTAAAAAGGAAGAAAATGTATGGTACTCTGAATGGCCCTACAGTTCCTGCCAGACTCTGCCTCCCCAGTCCTTATTTAAGCAAGATCACCACACACTTACTCAGCAGGTGTAACCTCATGCCTTTTCTGCTCCAGGCTTCTCATTCTGAAGCAGGGGCTGAGCTGCCCACCTGGTAAGTAGCCTCCAAGGGGATCTGTATGTACCTACAAGAACTGGGCAACTCTTATTAAACAGACCCTGAGCAACTCACCTTCTGAAACTCCTCCTTGGGAAGGAGCACAAGGTCCCCCAGTCGAGTCCCCTTGGGAGATAAGGGACACCTTGATCTTCGGTCTCTTGGACGTCTTACTGCTAGGAAGAGGACTGGAGGGATGGTGTCGTTTCAGCTGGACCCTAAGCTCTTCTTTCTCTGCCTCTTCCACTGGTTCTGATGAAATGGGAACTAAGAGATGGAGCTGAGGTGAAATCTCCACAAGCCAAAACAGGGCCCGGTGGATTCTGCCAGCCAATACCAGCAAAGACCAGCCATTTGGGAACAGGAGAGCCACCCCACAAGTAGGACCCTATTTCACAATTCTACCTCAGACTCCACCAGGCTCTTCTCAGAGGATATCTCCTTCTCCATCTAGAACCCTTCCCTAGTGGTAGATGGGAAGGGGCTTTGGAGGACAGAAGACACTCTGGGCCTGCCAGTACCACCAAACAGAGGACTCACCACAGTGGCTATAAACAGCCCTTCCCAAACTCAAGGAATGTGATCATATTACTGTTGCTGGCTCTCCTTACTATCACTCCACAGGCTGGAGGTAGGAAATTTCTGCAGGAACTCAGGGAGCAGCAGGCTACCTAGTTCTCTGCAAACAGGAGTTTCCACAGGACTCCTCGGAGTGCTTCCATTCTTAGAGCCCAAGGTTGAGGGTCGGCTTGCCAAGTGGAGGCAAAGAGAAAGACTATTACCAGAACTTTAAGCTGACTCTGGATAGCGATTAGGTGAAGGACCACTGAAGCACAGGCAGCCTCACAACTCCTGCCCAAAGATAACAGGGGAGCAGCAGGCTATGTTACAACTTAGAACCCATGTCATCTTAGTGCCCATGACAGAGAAAGGTCATTTATCACATAGGAGCCTCCATTTCCATTGACTCAAACAAACTCACTGTGCATAGAATAAAGCCTTTTGGACTAAAGTTATATCCTTTAGACTTCCTCACAGGTTCCTTCTTTGTTTTTTTGTTGCTATTGGCATTGAGGACTGAACCCAGGGCTTTGCATATGCTAGACTCTTACAGGCTGAGTCACATACTCAGCCCTTTTGTCTGTATTTTGTTTTCATTTTATTTATTCTTTTTTTTTTTTTTTTTTAAATCAGTCATGGGGCTTGAACTTAGGGCTTTGGTCTTGTCCCTGAGCTTTTTTTGCTCAAGGCTAGTCCTCTATCACTTAGAGCCACAGCTCCACTTCTGGTTTTCTGGTGGTTAATTGGAAATAAGAGTCTCATGGACTTTCCTGCCTGGGCTAGCTTTGAACCACAATCCCCAGATTTCAGCCTCCTGAGTAGATAGGATTACAAGTGTGAACCACCAGTGCCCAGCTATATTTTGTTTTTGAGATAAGGTTTCAGTAACTTTGCTGGGGCTAGTCTCTAACTCATGATTTTCATGCCTCTGCTCCCAAGTAACTGGAATTACTGGCTGGTGTTGCCATGGTTGGCCAGGTTTCCTCCTTTTTAAACCTAGAAGTCATCTTTAGTACTCTTATCACAAAGTAGTTCTGGGGCAGGGAGGAAGGCAGCAATCCAATGAGGAAGGAGGGAGGGGCAGTATTCTGACATGGAGCCACAATCAAGGCATCACTAGCTAGGAAATCACTGCTTAGGAAATAAAACAAAAGAGGAAGGCATATGGCTGCTAAGTAGCTGGTATGCTTGCAGCAGCCAGGATGGAAACAAGAACTCGGAGTAGAGAAACAGACAAGGAAACTCAGGCTCATTCACAGGCAATGGGCATACAAAGGAAAAGTGAAATCAAGAAGCACAGTAAAAGAACCACAATAAGAAAGAAAAAAAAAAAAACACCATGAGAAATTGAAAAAATGAATAAATAAGCAAAGGAAATTAAAAAAAAAGAAACAGGAAACAGAAGAAGAGAAAAATAGGAAGAATGATGAAGGGGGAAATAAAGCGGAGGGGGTAAAAAGCAGTAAGCCCAAGACAAGTAGGTGAGAAAAAGAGTGATACTCACCAAAGAGACAGGAGGAGGTGCCGGGAGGAAGAGCTTTCCTCACCAGCATGTTTTGTTTCAGAAAAGCAGCAAACTGTGCTGGAATGAATCACAAAGAATTACAGAATCATGGCCAGCCAGAGAAAGGAGAAGAGTGGGAAAAAGAAAAAGAAGAAAATGGTCTAAAGGAGCTCCTTCTGAGGTCACTGAGCTTGAAACCTGACTCTGCCATGTAGCAGTTCCACGGAATCATCTACAAACTAAAGGTCATTGTCATGATTCAACCATCGAGGGCAAGTTAAGTGCAAGAGGGCATGGCACTTGATAAGGGCTCTGTTTATGTTAACTATCACTCCCTGCTTGCCCATATCTGCTAAAGACACGTGATATAGCTGCTGCTGACCCCATGACACTCTGGGAACCATTTTGACCCAGTTTATCACAGCCTTCCAGAGCTCAAGAGATTCTCCTTTAATCACTAGCTATCTTCAATCATCTAAGGGGACACCATTCACCCAGAACGTGGCTCTGACCACTCCTCATCCATGGAAGCCCGAAGAGCCAGGCTTCTTTGCTCCTTTTAGTACCACTCTTATGAGAAAACTCTTAAGAGGCCTGGGTTTAAGTTCTACCATTCTGGCTCCACTAAAAGTCACAGGAGAGGTGAGTAGATCATCTTTCTCAACCCTTAACATCCTCTATTTCACAGTCAGCAAGGGCTGTCCCTCTTCCTAGGCACTGGAATTCCTAAGAACTTTAGATGATACATGGTCATAGACATATCATCAACATCACTGCAAGAGGCCCTAGCTCAAGGCTACCCACCTCAGTTACTGTGTGTGTGTGTGTGTGTGTGTGTGTACATTTCTTTCTTGTGCACTTCTTTCTTGATCCCTTCTCTATAGATTTCCATATTGCACTATTAGTGCCCCGAATACCTATCATACATGCTTCCCTAAAACCTAACTATAAAACCTTGATCAACTTTGTGAAAGGTCTCAGTGTGGAAATCCTAACTATTCAAGGGCAAAACAAAGAAAGGGCATGATGCCAGGTGAGCTGTCTCAGAATCTGATGAATAAAATTAGTCATGCTGTCTGCATGACTTAGAAAGCTCCCTGACTGCATGAGTGGCTAGGAGTGCCTGGAGCAAAAGACATAGCTTCCCTAGAAAAAAGCTGGGTCAATACACACACAGTCAGCTTATAAACCCAACCTCTCTAATATACCAACACAAAGCTGTAACTAGTGACCACAAAGCCCTACTAACGTACATTCATTTCAGTCTAATTTTGTCTAGACAGGAATGTGGGAAAGGGTGTCTCTCATATCCACCAGAAAAAAGCTGCAGATCTAATACTTTCCAGCTACCACATTACATCAGCTTCAGAGGATGGAACCGTAGAACCCCAGTGGGACTGCTAGGCCAGAAGCTTATACCTTGGGCTTGTTTGTGGGTCATCACAGCTTCTGTCCGCTGTACATGTCTCTTCAGCAGCTGGGAGCTCCCAATCTGACTAGATTTCTGGGCAGAGGTCACTGTGGTCACTTTGGTCTTGGGACTGGATGTGGGGCTGCTGGACACACTAGAGAGATCCTGGGTAGAATACGAAGGCCAAGAGATGAGGAATGTTGTTTGAATTTAGACATTGGTCAGCATGTTCCCCTGGAACTCCCAAGTATCCCTAGGAAGTCAACTATGTAGTCTTCAGTACCCAGGAACTGAACTACCCTGCCTGAACTACCTCTGAGCCTGAGGGTGAGGCAGGGAGCTTGGCAGCTGGAGAAGTAGGCCGACTGCCCCGTTCAGACACTTCAAAGGCCAAGTCTCTTCGGGCTATATCACGAGGCTTCTTCTTCTTCTCAGCATCCTGATCCCGAGGCTCAGAGCCCATGTGACCTTCAGTTCGAGTGAGCACTCCAGTCAGAAAGTCCACAATCTCATCCTAATGTAAAAAAGAATCCAGGTCTATGAGTCTTCTGGGGAGCAGGAATTTCCCAGATGGTTTGCAACTAAGCGAGATTCTACCTGGGCATTGGCTCCTAGATGTGCTGGTCCTTTCTCACTCACAAAGCATATACAAATCCCATGCTTCTGAATGACTGTGGTTGAAAAAGACTAGCATGTACCTCTGCTCTGTGAGGAAGCAGGTACATTCTACCCCTCCTCCGGCAAACCCTTTCTCCCAGATGCCTTGCTTATGTCTCAGGTTACCTCCCCTTTGCTCTTTTTCTCTTTTTTTCTTTTTTCTGATTATAATTTAGCCCCACGGAGGGCTCAGTGGATATTCCTTCATACTCCAAAGCCAATGAGCCTGTTGCCAACAGCATGAAACCCAAAAGGCAAACACGTACAGGACACCTGTTTACCTGAATACACCTGTCCACCATGCTCTGAGTCAACCCTTCTGATTTCTTCTTCGCTTTGCTTATTCTAAGAAATAAAAAAGGAGAAAAATGTTTACTTTTCTTCTCTGTGTTACTTTGTAGGCCTGGAAAGACTACATGAGTCCTAAAGCAGGTGATGTAACCTTTATGAGCCTGTTTTCATATCTGCATCATAACACCCCATTCAGGGAGATATGGGGATTAAACAAAATGACCTATATAAAGAACCAAGGATGATGCCCAGGACTATCCACTTCAGAAGGCCTACACTTCTAACTTAACAAGTAAAGCTGACTTGGATTGCCAGGGCCACATAGAGGGATTCCATACCTTCTACCTCCCTAGTCTCCCAACTCCGAGATTACTAGATTAGTGGAAGAAGATTCAAGGGGGCCCTTTGTTAGTTCTAAAGGGGGAGGGGGGAGGAAGGACCTCACTTAGTGGCATTCTTCTTTGAAAAGCTAGCCTTAAAATTCCCTGGTTTTGGGCTGGGAAGATCGCTCAGTGGTAGAGTGCTTGCCTTGCATGCATGAAGCCCTGGGTTCGATTCCTCAGCACCACATAAGCAGAAAAAGCCAGGAGTGGTGCTGTGGCTCAAGTGGTAGAGTGCTAGCCTTGAGCTGAAGAGCTGAGGGACAGTGCCTAGGCCCAGAGTTCAAGCCCCATAACCAAAAAAAAAAAAAAAAAAAATCCCCTGGTTTCAAAACAGATGTGGTGATACATACCTATAATCTAGCACCTGGGAGGCTAAGAAAAGAAAATCTGGGGTTTTAGGCCAGTCTGGGCTATATAATGAGTTTAAGGCAAGCTTAGGCTACATAGTAAGACCCTGTCTCAAAAAAACAAGTATCACTCACTGACTTTTAAACTGAGACTCCTAGCAAAGAGAACAAGATCCCTAAGTTACAAGATGGAGAACATTATTGAACCTTTAAATTCTGATAAGCCAATTGACTGGTTGTTGGCTCGGATTTTGTATATATATATTTTTCCAGTTCTGGGGCTTGAACTCAGGGTCTAGGCACTGTCCCTGAGCTTCTTTTGCTCAAGGCTAGTACTCTACCACTTGAGCCACAGAGCTACTTCTGGCTTTTTCTGTTTATGTGGTACTTAGGAATCGAACCCAGGGCGTCATGCATGCTAGGCAAGCCCTCTACCACTAAGCCACATTCTCAGCCCAACACTTTCATTTTTTAGAAGACTGGGAGTTGCACAAACTTCTGGAGTTGCACAAACTTCTCGAGTTACACAAACTTCTAAGCAAAGAGGTCAAGACCCAAAAGGTCTCTCACTTCTCAGTCCAATGACCTTGGCATCATGCAGAAATGTTTCATAAGCTACCTCACAATTCTTCCGGCTTTTTTCTTTTTGCTTATGTGGTGCTGAGGAATCGAACCCAGGGCCTCAGGCATGCAAGGCAAGCACTCTACCACTGAGCCACTTTCCTAGCCCTAACTCATAACTCTTGAAAACAGCATTCCTAGATCTCCTTACTCCTTCACAGCAAGTCAAAACAAACTCTATTCCCCTGTAGAAAAGATTTTCTGGGGCTGGGAAGGTGGCTCAGTGGTAGAGCACTTGCCTTGCATGCATGAGGCCCTGGGTTCAATTCCTCAGGACCACATAAGCAAAAAGAAAAAAGCCAGAAGTGGGTAGAGCGCTAGCCTTGAGCTGAAGAGCTGAGGGACAGCACCCAGGCTCTGAGTTCAGACCTCATGACCGGATCCAAAAAAAAAAAAGAAAAGATTTTCTGAACTACCAAGGAAAGCAATGTATTTACATAAAAAACATTGCTCAGTGCATTGAAAGGCAGGCTAGCAAATGACAAGGCCAGAAGGACCAAAAAAAAAAAAAAAAAACAGCTTAGGAGCAAGTACTTAGTTTTCTAGTGTGTAACTGAAAATTAATCTCTAAGGCTGAATATATAGAAAAAGGAAGCCAAATAGATAATACAACCTCTTTTTTTTTTTTGGGTCCGATCATGGGGCCTGAACTCTGGGCTTGGGCACTGTCCCTTAGCTCTTCAGCTCAAGGCTAGTGCTCTACCACTTGAGAGCAATAGCACCACTTCCGGCTTTTTTCTTTTTGCTTATGTGGTGCTGAGGAATCGAACCCAGGGCCTCATGCATGCAAGGCAAGCACTCTATCACTGAGCCACCTTCCCCTACAACCTCTTTTTCAGTACATTAGATGAGAATGTAACTATAGACCAGTTGTAGAGGCCCACACCTAAACTCTTAGCTACTCAGGAATTAGAGATCAGAAAGCTTGCAGTTTCAAGTCAGCCTGAGCAAAAATTAACAAGATCATCACTTCAGTCAGCAGCTGGGCATAGTAATACATGCCAGTCCCCCTAGGTACACAGAGGCCATAGGTCTATGACAGTTCAGGCATAAATGTGAGACTCCACTTGAATAACTAAAGCCAAAAAGGCTGGGGGGAAAGCATGGCTCAAGTGGTAGAATACCTGTTTAGCAAGCAAAAGTCCAAGTTTGAACATGATTACTGCCCCCAAAACATGTAACTACAACCTTACATGCTTCATCACTACAAGGAAAGTCTGTCTCAATGACCAGTCATCTCCCTAAAACCTCTCTCAAACTTTGCCTGTATTTATACTCCGAAGTTTCTCAAATATGACTTAAAACAAGTAACATCTATGTTCACATTCTACCTCAGTTAAGGCATAAATATTTTTAAATGCCTACTCTAGTCAAAGTCTATAGCAAATAAAGCATTTATAGAGCCTCAAGTTTCTTCTTCCCACAAGTTAACTAATTGCAATGGAAAAAACAGAAATTTCATCCTGGAGAACCTGGCAGAAGCTACCTTAATCATGTGACTAAGGTTATTATCAGTAGTGTTAAGATGAATCAGTATCATATATCCCCTGAAGGGATGCAATGAAATGGGTAATCATTTATGGACATTGTTGCCAAAAATGCACATCTTCAACATAATCAAAAAAAATGTAAAAAAACATAAACTGAGGGGCAATCTACAAAATACTTGGCTAGTAATCTTCAAAAATATCAAAGTCATGAAAGACGAAGACTGAGGAACTACATCAAATTCACAGACTGAGGCTCAACAATTAAAAATGCAACTAATGTGTTCTTGAACTAGAACCTATACCAGAAAAATAACAATCAGAAGACAACAGCAAATTAGATAATGCTATCATACTAATGTTAATTTTCAGATTTTGCTAACTGAGCCAGATTAGTCTATAGTTCCACTGCTCCCTAACGGGCATTCTTCTACATTGTAACTTGCTCCCTGCAGCTCTGGGGAAGCCTACTTACCTGAGATTATCATCAGCTCCTCCAACTACCACCAAGCTGTTTTCAGCTCGGATCTTCTCCCGGAAGTCCTCCATGGCTTCAGGGTGACACTGTAGGGAATTCTGACCAATCACAAAGAGGACTGGAGTCTTCATATCCAAGAGGGGATCATCTACATCCTAAAACAAGTACAGGTTTTAGATTTGGCCAGTTCATACTCAGGAAGCACTGACCTTGAAAGTTTGGGGATGTTTCAAGGAGTAGGTTATGTACCAGCTGGGTTCCTCACCCCAACTTGGATGAGACATGCACTCCTATTGTCCCCCAATCCCACTGCTGATGACCCAGCAACCAACTTCACCTCACTCTTACCCCCCGGGGACCATCCACGGTAAGCAGAGGAAACCCAAGGCAGATGACTGCAGTGACATACTCCATTACCGACACCTGTAAATAAGGACACCATATGTTTGAAGGGCAAGTGACTTCATTGCACCTCCCCCTACCCAGGATCAAAGAGTAGCCCAGACCCATCATGCAGTCCCATCTTTTCCTCCCTTCTTCTAACCCCCAGCTGCATAAGCCATGGTGACAGCAGTAAAAATACAGAATATAAGGTGTGCTATTCCACAAGCAGCTACTACTTAAGAGAACTAGGGTTCTGAAAGGACCCCAGGTCACATCTGTACCAAAGGATGGGAAGTATAATACTTCAACCCTGTCAATCCTCAAGACCAGAGCTTTCTTGCTTTATTTTTCTCCACTAGGTGCGCATACAATAAAAAGACTACAAATGTTGGGCTTGGGTTGTGGGCTCAGTGACAAATGACACTTGCCTAACATGCATAAGGCCCTGGGTTCCATCAGTAGAGAGGAGGAGAAGGGAAGGAAAGAGGGAGAGAGGAAGGGAAGGAGGAAGGGAAGGAGGAAGGGAAGGAGGAAGGGAGGGAAAGGAGGGAGAGAGGAAGAAAGAAACACTAATAGTGCTCTTCTCTTGTAAGAAAAGTCTCTTCCATTGGACTTAGGAGCTAGCTCTCACACATCCCAGATTTCTCAAAGCAGTCAGCTACTGACTAAGGATGGAGTTCTGTTGCTGTCCTTGGGAGGAAGGAGTATGGGTAGGTGCTGTCTTTCTCTTGTCGTTCTAGGGCTCATATAAACTAGACTGAGAAGAATGGAGGCTTGGACATTTCAGAAACACACAAACTAGCAGGTATATGAATAAATGTAAGATAATAAAATAAAAGGTTCTTTGGTATCTTATAAAGGGATCAAACATGAGCATGTAAAATTTGAGAGCTAATAATTTGGTCCTAATAGAATTATTCATTTTTTAGGTGGGGAAATCATATGGTACTTGTTTAAAGAAATCTTACATACTGAAACATATATAAATGAAATATACTTGATACTGTCTTCAAAATAACCTGGATATGTGTGTGTGTGTGTGTGTGTGGTGAGGTGGGGAAGGGGGGGCAGAAGGGGGTTGGTGAAGGAGGAATAAGCAAGTAATTAGGCAGGCTAAGAAGAAACTAGCCTTTTGGTGAGATGACTGCTGGTAAAGCTGGGTGTGAGACCCATGAGGCTTATTAGTCTAGTCTCCTTGCCTTTGTTCTTGCCTAAGCTTTTCCAAAATAAAGTTAAAAGAATAAAGGTTATCTTCCAGTTTGCAATGCAATTATACTAGCAAAGCATTAAACATAGGGATTGAAACACAGTAAATGGGACTGGGAAGGTGGCTCAGTGATAAGAGTGCTTGCCCCACATGCATGAGGTCCTGGGTTCGATTCCTCAGCACCATATAGACAGAAACACAGTAAAGGACTCAGTATAGCCATGAGTAGTAACAGCAGTTCTCAGTGACCTCTAAATAAGATGGAAATCACTTACGTGACAGGCTACCAAAGCTCCCGTGTTCCATCCAATCAATATAATAGGTTTATGTGGGAAATGGCTATGAATCTGTGGGAAGAGAAAGCAGCTGGTAAAACAGGAAGCCATAGAACAGTGGTATACTACCTAGAAGGCTGGGCATGGCACATTCTCACCTCTAATACTTTGCTTCTCACTGCACCAATCATGTGCTCCAGACACTGCAGAACTCCGACCCCAATGCCATTGTTCAGCAAATGTGTGGCCACAGGGATGACCTAAAAGAAATAAGTTTCAAAACTTTCTATTCTGCTTAACTTACCTTGAATCCCTTCAATCTTGAACAATCACCATTCAAATGCCAAATAAAAGATGAATTTGGGCGATTCCACAATTGAATTCATCATTAAAAAAAAATGTTTTTAAATTTTATGGGTTACTGTTTCATAAGTCAGGTAATCAGTATATTCCTTTTTGAACAATGTCATTCCTTTCTTTGCTCCCTCCAGGTTTTTCTCTCCTATCCCTGCCCACAAGTTGCATAGTTCATTTTCAACACAGTGTTTACGGAGTAGCATTGCTACATTTGTTCACCCTTAGATTTATCCATTTTGATACTCCCACCCTTGGCAAGCTCCTTTCTTTTAATCCTCCATGATCACATTCCCACCTAGCCGAGTTCTTTTGCCTAACACATACCTTGCCTAAGCAGGAGAGCTGAGACTGCCAGAAGCGGTGGCGGCGTGAAGTGGGGAACACAGAGCTGGAGGGGCCAGAGGAGGCAATGAGAATCAGAGGCGAGCCAGGAAGTTTGCTCTGAGGAGAGAATCCCAACCAAAAACAAATGAATGAGAAGAATTCATCCACAAAAATACCAATGAATCTATCCCAATACATTTCTCATCCTCACCTTTTTACTAATGAAACAAGTAAGCTATTTATCATCTTCTAGCCACGGTTCTAGATGACCTAAATATTTCATGTGTCACAGTGAAGTCTGAGTATCCAACTTACTGGTTTGTTATGAGAAAGCACCCCTACAGCAGGGTCCCAAGGCCTTTTGAGGAGGAGGGACAAGGCTTCAGCTCCTGCAGCCCCAGTCTTTGTGTTGGATGACACAAGCATCCGGTCAATCAAGGTTGGGATCTAGAAAGATGAGCAAAGAAGATTCCAGTGTGAAGCAGGATGGCAGGTGCACAACGCTATGCCAAGTCACTGTGCTTCCCTTGTGGCTGAAACAACGGCCACATATCATCATGCTCAGCCAGTAGTTGAGAGGGAGTCACTCAAACTTCTTTTTTGCTCAGACTGGACTTAAACCGCAGCTTTCCAATCTCCACTTCCTGAGCAGCTGAGATTACAGGATTGACCTACCACATCTGGCTAAACCTTTCTTATTAAAGTGAATCAGCAAGAGGACAGAATTCAACTTGGCTTGTCAAACTTTTCTTGGGACAAACATACAAATAAGTGAGTGGCCAACAAACAGTGCTCTTGCTATGAAAGTGGGTTTGTCCATTAAAAAGCATCTTGGGACTTAAGTTTATTCCCATTCCTTTTCTAAATGATTATGTTCTTGTCATCCTTGTTATGAAGGTAAGATCAAAAGGATCATAGTTCCATGCCAACTTGTAGGAAAAAAGTTTGGGAGACTACCTCAACAGAAGCTGGGAATAACAAGCATGTCTGTCATCCTACCTATAGAGGGAAGCGTAAAACAGGAAGATGTAGTCCAGGCAAGTTCCTGAGCCAAAAGCAAGACCACATCTCAAAATAACCAGCAGTACAAATATGGGTTGAAGGTTTGTGCCTCAGTATTAGAATAACTACCTAGGCAAGCATGAATCCCTGAGTTCAAATCCTAGTACCACCACATACACATACATACACAGAAATATACCCACACAGAAGGAAGGGTAAGGACAGTTATACAGAGACCAATTCACTGTCAATAGTAAATAGTAATATAAAAATAATCTAAATGTCTATGTTTAGGTATTAAGAATTACTTTCAAATATTTATAAAAATTTATGCAACACAAAAATAATTTTGTTAATATGTTACAAGTAAAACAAAATATAGGCTGGGTATGGTAGCTGTAATCATAGCCACTCAGGATATGGAGAACCAAGTTTGAGGTTAGCCAACACAAAAAAGTTAGAGACTTGCAATTTAACAAATACACTAGGAGCCAGGCATCAGTGACTTATGCATAAAATCCTAGATATTCAAGAGGCTGAGATCTGAAAATAGAGGTTTTTGGAGTCAGTCCAGGTAGACAAATCCACTCTAGCTCTACCACTCCTAGCTTGGAGCATTCCTCTCACTATGTGAGAGGCATGGGTAGCAAGGTCACAATCAGAAGCTAGGTGGTCAGAAAGCACAAGGCTCTGTCTGAAAAATACCTAAAGCAAAAAGGGTTAGGAGTGGCTTGAGTGGTAGAGGATTTTCCTAGTAGACTCAAACCCTGAGCTCAAATCTAGTACTGCCAAGAAAGAATAGAAAAGATATAAAAGTTACCTTTACTTAAAAAAAGCTGTAAGAGCTGGATGAATTAAAATATATTAAAAGGCCGGGTACTGGTGGCTCATGCGTGTAATCCTAGCTACTTAGGAGGCTGAGATCTGGGGATTGTAGTTCAAAGCCAGCCCAGGCAGGAAACTCCATGAGACTCTTATCTCCAATAAATCACCAGAAAACCGGAAGTGGCACTGTGGCTCAAGTGGTAGAGCACTAGCCTTGAGTTGAATAGCTGAGGGACAACACCCAGGCCCAGAGTTCAAACCGCTGACCAACAAAAACAAAATAAAAAAAGCTGTAAGAAAATTTGCCAAAATATTAATGTAATTATTTCTATGGAATTATGGTTGATCTTTTTCCTTTATAGATTTATGTGTGTTCTAGATTTCTTCAGTAAGTAACAGTTGATTTTTCCAATTTTTTTACAATCCACAATTTCTTCTAGAGTACAGCCTTCAAGCTATAGCATGTTAATTAAACCTATTGTTGTATCCACCTCCCCAAATCCTACTATATTATAGATATTGTGATTTATACTATAGCCTGTGTTTTTAGTATCCACACAAAATGTTGCCTCACGAGTGTATAAATATAGGTTTCAGATATGCTGGTGCTTATACGTTAAAAAGTGTCTGTGTGAACACCACACTACTCACAGAAAGCTCAAAACAGTCTCAGGGCAAGGAAAGGTTTTTGAATATTAGAGGACACATTCAGAACTTTACCAAAAAAAGGGGTTGGGAAGTGGGCTAGAGACTGCCGAATAAAAAGCACTATAGTTTGATTCATGTTGCAAAATTTGAAAGGTAGAAGATAAACTGCTCTTAATTTAAAAAGAAATACACTAGAGGCTAGGAATGTGGTGCAGCGGTAGAGTACTTGCCTAGCATTTGTAAAAGCCTGGGTTTGATCTCCAGCATTGAAAAATATAAAAAAGAAATTAAAAAACAACAAAAGTGGACAATGCACTATAGTATAATTTACTCAGAATCTTGTATCTGTTTGTCCCCTATACACATGTATGTTTCAAATAAATAAATTTAGTAAGACTTGAAAGCTAGGCATGCTGGTAGGTGCATGTAATCTCAGAGCCTGAAAGGCTAAAGTAGTTCATGAGAGTCTGGGTTACACAAGGATATCATAGGGGTAGAGGGAGTACACAGACAGAAAAAAAAAGATTTCTGGACAAGAAATCAGGGAATTATCACCATGAGCCTGTCCCAGTTAACTCTCAAGTCACTAAATGTGTGGCAGCTGCTGTTACACCCAGCTAAATTCCCCTTGCAGAGGAATTTAATCTACATGGGGAAAGAAAGACACACTCACAAGTAACACTGGGGCTTGGATAACTGCCATGAGAAAAACAGAAGTTCCACACTGTTGATTTGAATCACTCAATGGAGGGAGGAGGTTAACAGGTATTTCTCATCTAAAGAAGCACTAAAATAGACTATTAGAACCGGCAGGATTCCAAAAGATGATGAGAGAAGAGATACTAGTAACAGGCAAGAATGTGTGGGGCTTACCCAGGCAGGTGGACTGAAGTCAAGGACTTCAGGAAGGCGGATGTAAACTAATAAAGAAGGTTAAAGCCATGTGTGTGCGTGTGTGTGTTTGTGTGTGTGTGTGATATATGTTGACAGCTGCGCCTTCTAGCTACTGCAGCCTCATGCTTTCTGCCCCCAGGACCCTTACACCAAATACTCTACCTTCATCTTCATCCACAGCTCACTCTACTTAAGGGCCTTTGCACCACTATTTTCTCAACTTGGAGCTCCCTTTACCCAGCCAGCCATTGTAGATCCCTGAGTTTCTGGAGCATCCTCAACAAAGCATCACAAATAGGATTGATGCAAGAGTAAAAACGTCTGCTTTCATAGTGCTGAGGCCAGAAGTCTAATAGTAGGGCCACAGTCTTCCATCTAGAGTCTCTGTAAGGGTGGTTCCCACGTCTTTCAGTATTTGGAGCACCTGGGTCCTTCCTGCCTCTGGAAGGTCCTTCCTACCTCTTCCAGCTTCTGGGGGCACCAGGTATCTCTTGGCCTCTGACCAAATTACTCCCTGCTTACATCTCCAATCAGCTTTATTCCCAAATTTCCATCATGTGTTTGTGTGCCCATACCAGGGCTTGAACTCTGGATTTCACACTTTCTTGCTTCTGGCTGGTGTTTTTACCGTGTGTGTGTGTGTGTGTGTGTGTGTGTGTGTGTGTGACTTTGTGTGTGTGTGTGTGTGTGTGTGTGTGTGTGTGTGTGTGACTTTCTTGCTTCTGGCTGGTGTTTTTACCGTGTGTGTGTGTGTGTGTGTGTGTGTGTGTGTGACTTTCTTGCTTCTGGCTGGTGTTTTTACCGTGTGTGTGTGTGTGTGTGTGTGTGTGTGTGTGTGACTTTCTTGCTTCTGGCTGGTGTTTTTACCGTGTGTGTGTGTGTGTGTGTGTGTGTGTGACTTTCTTGCTTCTGGCTGGTGTTTTTACCGTGTGTGTGTGTGTGTGTGTGTGTGTGTGTGTGACTTTCTTGCTTCTGGCTGGTGTTTTTACCGTGTGTGTGTGTGTGTGTGTGTGTGTGTGTGTGTGTGTGTGTGTGTGACTTTCTTGCTTCTGGCTGGTGTTTTTACCGTGTGTGTGCATGTGTGTGTGTTTTATATTTTCTTTGGTAGCCAGGCACTGGGTGGCTCATGCCTATAATCCCAGTTTCTCAGGAGGCTGAGATCTGAGGATCATGGTTCAAAGTAAGTGTGTGTGTGTGTGTGTGTGTGTGTGTGTATTTTCTTTGGTAGCCAGGCACTGGGTGGCTCATGCCTATAATCCTAGTTTCTCAGGAGGCTGGGATCTGAGGATCATGGTTCAAAGTAAGTGTGTGTGTGTGTGTATGTGTTTATATTTTCTTTGGTAGCCAGGCACTGGGTGGCTCATGCCTAGAATCCTAGTTTCTCAGGAGGCTGAGATCTGAGGATCATGGTTCAAAGCCACCCTGGGCAGGAAAATCCTTGAGACTCTTATCTCCAGTTAACCACCAGAAACCAGAAGTGGCGCTCAAGTTGTAGACAGCACTTGCCTTGAAGTGAAGAGCTGAGGGACAGTGCCCAGGCTCAGAGTTCAAGCCCCATGACAGACAAAAAAATAAAACAAAATAATAATTTCTTTGGTGATGGGGCTTGAACTTAGGGCCTGGGCACTGACCCTGAGCTCTTTTGCTCAAGGCTAGTGCTGTACTATTTTGAATCACAGCTTTACTTCCAGTTTTCTGGTAGTTAATTGGAGATAAGAGTCTCATGGACGGAAGCAGGGTGCTGGTGGCTCACGCCTGTAATCCTATCTACTCAGGAGGCTGAGACCTGAGGATCGCGGTTCAAAGCCAGCCAGGGCAGGAGAGACCGAGAGACTCCTATCTCCAGTAAACCACCAGAAAACCGGAAGTAGCGCTGTAGCTCAAGTGGTAGAGCGCTCCCCTTGAGCTGAAGAGCTGAGGGACAGCGCCCAGGCCCAGAGTTCAAGCCCCACGACCAACCAAAAAAAAAAAAAAAAAAAAGTCTCATGGACTTTCCTACCTGGGCTGGCTTTGAACCATGATCTGAGGATCTCAGTTTCCGGAGTAGCTAGGATTGCAGGTATAAATTGTACCCTGCATTTTTTTTCCTGCATTTTTTTTTTTTAACCTCAAGGCTAGAGTTCTACCACTTGAGCCACAGTTCCAATCCAGTTTATGGGGTAGATAATTGCCATTGGTGCCCAGTAGGTAAACAATTCCCTATTTAATTGTGAGCTAATGATGTCTTTGAGACAATGGATCTAATCAGAGTTGACTTAAAAAGCTTTTGCTATCAGGGTAATCGTGTCTCATACTTGTAATTCTAGCTTCTCAGGAGGCTGAGATCTGTGGATCATGGTTCAAAGCCAGCCCAGGCAGAACAGTCCATGACACTCTTACATCCAACTAACCATCAAAAAGCCCTAAGTGGAGCTATGGCTCAAGTGTTAGAGCACTAGCCTTGAGTGAAAAAATTAAAAGACCCTGAGTTCAAGCCCCAGTAAGAAGGGGAGAGGAAAGGAAGCATAGGGAGGGAAGAGGAAGTGAATAATAGAATGAATCCAAGTTCTCTAACGTCATTTATTGGAGCAAAGCACAATTTTAATGCCCTATGAGAATACCTCAAATAATTCTGAACAGTTGCTGTTGCCTTCCTATAAGCTACCTCGATTAACTGACTTAGTTCGTAAAGAAATAATTAGTAGGGACTGTTACCAGACATTTTGGAGATGAAGAAACATACACAGCAGCCATTGCCTCCAGAACCTGCTTTCTACCACACTATTCCAGTGCTGCCTTAACATCACAATCAAGCAGAATCTCAAGGAAAATAGTTTATGTACAATACTGAGTGCATGAAAGCAGGGGCATTTAATGAGACATTCATAATAAATTACTGCAGTCTAAGCATTGCTCCTAAAGGTTGGTGCCAAGGAGAGGATTAAGTGTCAGGTACCACCTCACAGTATAATCCCCTGGCCTGGAGTGCCACAGATCTGCTTCTCACACCCGTATCAACACTACTCCCAGGTAAACCTCCAGGACTACTCAATTTAGCAAATGCTCAAGCACCACCTGCAAGGCGTATTCTGGTTTTCAGGCCTCAAACCTCATCCTGGAGATAAGCAGGGCTGAAGACAGTTATACCAGATGCAAATGTAAAATGATTCTGTCTTCTGCTTTTAATAGTAAATCTGTCAACTTCAACCATGCCTTCCAAGCTATCCATGGGGAACCCTGTCCCACCCCACATCCTAAGCCTCAGCTTACCTTCCCTTTCAGTGTCTGCAATGAATCCAGGTAGGCAGCCAGCATGGGCAGACTCAGGGTCTCCACGAGGGTAGTGTGCAGCCACTGGATCAGCTTGGTGTCCCAGCTCACACTTGCCAGAGCCTGACGCACCCTCCTTGCACACTTGTCCACAGCAACACGGCGCAGCACGGGCTCATTACAAGCCTGAAAGATGTAAGCAGAAGGAACAAAACAAGAGTTCTACTTGGTTAGAAAATGGGGAAGACAAGTCAGTCAGCCAGTGAAGCCTGAACTAGGAAGGCCCACTGTGGGCAGATTTCTGGCTTACCCCTTCATTGGCCAAGCGGGCAAGCCGATCAGATTGCAGGGCTTTGAGGATCTTGTTGAATAGCTTGTTCTGGGCCATTGTCCAGCCCGTCCTATAATGGAAACTCTGAGGAATTAAAATCAAACCCTAGAGTTGTTCCCATGTATGTTTACCTAAAGAAGATTTTGCCACATTTTTGCTCTCATTATGAAAGCGTGTAACTTGAGATAGCTTAAAATCACTAAGTTAAAACATGAGACCCAGATTCTGGTCCCAATCTTGCCAATGACTCACATCAACACACCTTTTTATCTATCTATCTATCTATCCATCCATCTACCTACCTACCTATCTTTAAGTAGTTGTACAAAGAGGTTTCAACATGTCAGTTTGTAAGTAATGTGTTTTGATCAATGTTACTCTTTCCACCATTCTCTCTTCATCTGTCCCAATCAGCACACCTCTGTATTAACAACACACACTAAAAACCAAAATCACAAGTCTTTCAATGCTAATAAACCTAATTATTAACAACTAAAATAATCACAATAATAAAGAAAGAAATGGCCCCACTGCAGACATTTTTAATTTCTTCACCTTTTTTATATTTATATTTTATTTTTTGAAACAAGATCTTGCTATGTAGCTCAGGCCAGCCTTAAATTTGTGCTACTTCTCAGACTCCTGAATTCTGTGACTACACCATACACCACCATGCTGAGGTTGAAATTCTTAAGTTTTATATTTTATACCAAGGCAGAAAGGATCAGCAAATATCTTTACTTTTCCTATAGTACTGAGGATTGAATCCAGGGTCTTGCACATACTAAGCAAGCACTTACTCTGTCACTTAGCCAGACCTTCTACCCTTCTGCTTGTATTGTGTTTTTGAGACAGGGCCTTGTTAACTGTGTGTAGGCTTAAATCCTCCTGCCTTTGCCTCCTGAGTAGCTGGGATTACAGGCATGTGTCATTATATACAGTTTCATCTACATTTTTTTTTTGAGACAAGATAACAAAATAAGAAACTCTATTTGTTTACCAACTTTCTCTGCCATTAAAAAATAAATAAAAAGAAACTGGTAATAACTTTTGAAAATTGAAGTGGAGAGTGGACACAAGTGAGATAGATCAAGGTAGCATTTCATATCCATAGGGATAAAGTTATTAAGTAGAGACAACCAGTAGAAAATCTAAATTCTGCCCGGGCACCAGTAGCTCACGCCTATAAATCTAGCTACTTAGGAGGCTGAGATCCGAGGACTGTGTGAGGCTCTTATCTCCGATAACCACCAGAAACCTGTAAGTGGTGCTGTGGCTCAAGTGGTAGAGCACTCTGAAGAACTGAGAGACAGTATCCAGACCTAGAGTTCAAGCCCCATGACCGACAAAAACAAATAAATAAATTCAAATTCCTATACATCTCTTTTTACATCAAAATAAATTTCAAATGTTTAGCAAAAAGCTAAACATTAAAAAATAAAGCTATCAAAGTTCTAGGGGAAAAACAGTGATTATTTACTTACCTACCTACCTACTTCTACCTGTCTGTCTTTGAATAAGACTAAGGATTACCCCAAACTTAGAAGTAAAAAGAGAAAAATATAACTGCATAAAATTTCAAACCTCTAGGGCTGGGAAGGTGGCTCAGTGGTAGAGTGCTTGCCTTGCATGCCTGAGGCCCTGGGTTCGATTCCTCAGCACCACATAAGCAAAAAGAAAAAAAGCCGGAAGTGGCTCAAGTGGTAGAGCGCTAGCCTTGAGCTGAAGAGCTGAGGGACAGCACCCAGGCCTAGAGTTCAGGCCCCATGACCAGACCCCCCCCCCAAAAAAAATTTTTTTTTCAAACCTCTATTAAAGAAGTATCATAAACAAAGTCAAAACAGTGGAAAAATAATTGACAGTGCTTTTAAATGCTAGAAAAATTATCAAAAAAAAGATGAAACAAATGTGGAAGCTAGATCTAAAACACAACTTATATATGATAACATATACAAGGCTCAATACATTTATACGCAAACAAACTAAGGGAGGGTATACTTAGGGGAAGAATTCAAAGGCATACATCTTCTGAAAAACTATAAGGTACTGTTTATCAAAATGAATACTAGGAAATAGAAACATGTTTTTTGAGGGGGTAAAGGATGGCATAGGAATGGAGGAGGAGTAAGCAAGTGTAGTCCATTATATTCAATAGATACTATATAAAAATTAAACTATGTAACTTGTGGATAGAGATAGGATAGGAAAAATGGGGGAGAAAAAAGGGGTGACACTGACCAAGAACCACTGTGCTTATAACCTGACCCCTTTGTACAACTCCTCAGTAATAACAATAAAAAAAAAATACTCAACGGACAAACAACATACAAAGGTAGATCACAGCCAGATGCCTGCTTGGTCACTGCATCACTTGGAAGGCTAAAGCAGGAGGATCCTGAATTTGAAGCTAATCTGGCTATTTAATGAGACTGTATTAAAGGAAAAAAAAGGTAGGTATAGCATCTCACCTCACACCTGTAATCCTAGCTCCTCAGGATCTGGGTTCAAGGCCAGCCAATGCAAATGTTCTCAAGACCCCCATATTCATCAGTAAAACTTGGACCTAATGATACACACCTGTCATTCCAGCTGTATTGCAAGTATAGCTAGGAGGACAGAGGTCTGTCTAGGTAGGCCCAGGCATAAATTCAAGATCCTATTCAAAAAGCAACTAAAGCAAAAAGGACTAGTGGTAAAGTGCCTACCTTAACAAGCCCAAGGCCTTGAGTTCAAACTCTCTAGTAACCCCGCCCTCCCCCCAATTACCTACCAAGTAAGTAAAAACTTAAAGTTTAATACCACTGTGCTATGAGGATATAATAAATTAATAGATCCTCCATATTCTTTCTGTTTATCTCATCCAGGTCTAATGCTAGCGAGGCAAGCACTCTTCTACTTGAACAATGTCTCAGTTTTTTACTTTTTAAGTTTGGTTTTGAAATAAGCACTTTGTACTTTTGCCTGAGCTAGTCTTGGAATACAATCCTCCTGCTTTCAGAGTAGCTGAGATTACAGGCATGTACCTCCATGACCAGACAGTGGCCTCATTTTCTCCCTAAAATAGAATCTCTACCTAAGACATCTCTCATTTTACAACTTACCAGTTACACAGTCTTAAGAGAATCCTAAACTAGGAACCAGGACTTTACCCAGATCTATAAGGGCTGGTTGTGTGCCCTGAGTCTCCTGTATATAAAATATATATGGACCAGATAACCCTGACATTATCAAATATACGGGTCAGCATGACCACTGGTAAGGATAACAACTAAAATCCATGACTGCAGAGATAGAACCAGGTAACCTCTTTGGCAGTGCCTTTCCATGCATCATCAGAGCTTGCTATAGCTAAATCCTTCCTGAACCTCCAAAGCTACTTTGCCTTTTATAATCACTTGTGGATGCTAGAAGCAATCCTAGGCTTCTTGTGCTTTAGTTTTCCTGGTTTAATTCCCATTACTTCATCAGGATCCAGTCCATTTTTATTGTGGTTTAATATTAAAAGACTAGTTTAGCCAGGCACCACTGGCACATGGCTGTAATCCTAGCAATTCAGGAGACTGAGATCTGAGGACCGCATCTTGAAGTCAGTCTGGGCAGGAAAAGCCTGTAAGAAGACTGTTATCTCCAATTAACTACCCAAAAAAGCTGGACATAGATCTATGGCTCAAGTGGTAGAGCTAGCCTTGAGCAAAGCAGTTCAAAGACAGTGTCCAGGCACTCAATCCAAGCCCTCAAGAACCAGTACAAATAAAAATCAAAATTCAAAAGACTCGATTTGGAAAGTGGAAAGTGAAAGCTTCAACTTTACGCTGGATTCAGACTACTTCAGAGGCTTGTGAGACCAGAAGTTCCAGACCACTGGTTTACAATCCCATTTTCCTTCATATTATTGCATACTAACATGAATAGCATGCTTTTTATGTATACTGCTTCTTGGGTAGGATTGAGGATTGGATGGAGATAACAGGAGAGAGAGAATGCTCACAAATAGTATAGGAAAACCTCTCTGGAGACACAAGTATCTACCTCCACATTAATAGACCTCCAATGTCCTATCCTATTTAGGTTAAGTCTCTCTTCCACTGTCCCTCTCCCCCACCCCCTCTCTCCTCCTCTTCCTTTTTCTCTCTCCCTCCCTTTTTCTTTTTCTCTGTTTTTGTGCCAGTACTGGCACTTGAACTACAAGGGACTTGATACTGTCCCTTATCTTTTTCACTCAAGGCTAGTGTTTTACCACTTGAGCCATAGTTCACTTCTGGTTTTTTTTTGTTTTTTTTTGGGGGGGGGGAGGATGGTTAATTGAAGATAATAATCTCACAGACTTTCCTGCCTGGGCTGGCTTTGAATCATGAGTTCCTTAGAACTAGCCTCCAGAGTTGTAAGACAGGCATGCGCCACCAGTGCCTGGCGGTTGAGTCTTCATTGAATTGTAGTGATCACCTTTCCATTCTTCCTCCATTCACATATATACATTTATAAGTTTGTGCAAGTACCTCTGCAGAACAAATATCTCAAAGTAAAATAGAAAAAGTAAAGACTATCTGATTAAAATTTCAGAATTTCCAGTTCTGTGAAAATAATGTATCAAAGGAACCATAGCATCATTAAAATGGTACTATATTGTAGTCTTTCTCAAAGTCAAATAGAAAGAGTAAAGATTATATGATTAAAATTTCAGAATTTCAAGTTCTGTGAAAATAATCTATCAAAGAATCCACAGCATCATTAAAATGGTACTATACTGTAATCTTTACTGCCAACATCTTTGAGCTGTTTTTCCTCTCTTCCCTCTACCTTACTTTCCGGTAATAATTTATCATCAACTGGTTTCAGTAAGGAATTTTGTTTTGTCCAACAATTTCTAGAGCTTTCTCAAAACTTACTTACATTGAAAATTTCAGCTTCCAGAACAGAAAATGAAGCTGGACACTGGTGGCTCACACTTGCAATCCTAACTGCTCAGGAGGCCAGGATCCTTAGGATCACAGCTAAAGGCCAGCCAGGGTAGAAAAGTCTGCTAGAGTCCCCCTCCCCCTGCCAAAAAAAAAAACAAAAAACAGAAAAGGC